CTCAGACGCAAAAAAAGGTTTGTTATAAATATTAATTAGAATAATTTTCTAAATTATACAAAATTGAAATAACAAAGGTAAATATTACCTGTTCATCGTGAAAATGCGTTACAGCTCTCCCGTTCGTGATGGGTTTCAATAATGCGGACTGCTCTCAGACGCAAAAAAGGTTTGTTATAAATATTAATTAAAATAATTTTTTAAATTATATAAAATTGAAATAACAAAGGTAAATATTACCTGTTCATCATGAAAATGCGTTATAGCTCTCCCGTTCGTGATGGGTTTCAATAATGCGTGACGCAAAAAAAAAGGTTTGTTTCTTTTGTTAACGTACCCCAGTCTGGAAGCATTATATATGAAGTGTACCCCAGCCTGCTCGTCATGGGTTTCAATAATGCGGACTGCTCTCAGATGCAAAAAAGGTTTGTTATAAATATTAATTAAAATAATTTTCTAAATTATATAAAATTGAAATAACAAAGGTAAATATTACCTGTTCATCATGAAAATGCGTTACAACTCTCCCGTTCGTGATGGGTTTCAATAATGCGGACTGCTCTCTCCCGTTCGTGATGGGTTTCAATAATGCGGACTGCTCTCAGACGCAAAAAAAAGGTTTGTTATAAATATTAATTAAAATAATTTTCTAAATTATATAAAATTAAAATAATAAAGGTAAATATTACCTGTTCATCATGAAAATGCATTATAGCTCCCCGTTCCTGATGGGTTTCAATAATGCAGGCTCTCAGACGCAAAAAAAAAAGTTTGTTTCTTTTGTTAACGTACCCCAGTCTGGAAGCATTATATATCAAGTGTACCCCAGCCTGGAAGCATTATATTTATATTGTATATGCGATGAAAAATTATTCTCTGTATTTTTTTTCTCTGAACTCGTGAATGATGAGTTGTAATGGTGGTAGTGAATATCCTTTTATACAATTTTTTATTAACAAAAGTGATAAGATAATTATGGATTGTATTTGGATAGATATTAAATTCCATGATTTTTGGGATGCTATATATCTTATCACGTTAAAGGTATATCCATCCCTAAAAAAGGGAAATATATAATGCCTTAATTGAAGGAATTTTTGTATTTTCGTAACAGATTTGCTTAATTAATGGAATCTGATACTTAATTAACGGGAATACCAATTACAAAATCTTATTCACGATTTTTTTTTTTTTAAAATTTGATTGAGATTACATAAATAGAAAGTCAAAAGTCAACTCAATTTATTTTAAGTTTCTAAAAATGATTTTTACATCAACCTTTTTAGATATATATAGATACTAGATAATTTTGTATTGTTTACAACTGATATCAGACAAATTATATCACATATTAACTCCACATATTTAATTTATAATTATTAGTTAATATATTTTACCTTCATATTAATTAGTTTTGTTTATCATCATCCTTAATTACCGTGCATCGCACGGGCTACATATTAGTTTTGAATAGAGATCCTAGCTAGCAAATGAAATTCAATAACTAAAGGTAAAAGGGTATAACTGTCAATTAATATTATAAAATATGCTCATTTCGAATAGAGACCCTTGTCCTAAACGAGCAAATAGCTCATACCATTCATGGGGCTATTATGGCGAATTTTATAAATTAGATTTAATTACTTATATACAGAGTTAAAATAAAAATAGAAAATATTTTTCTAACATTAAATGAAACAACATAAATAATTTATTTTATTTATGAAATAACTTTTTATAAGCAATTACTTTTTATTTGTCAATATTATAAATTAATTCTTTTATATCTTTTGCTAATCCCAGATTTGAACAATTAGGAATCCGCCGCAACCCTAACCCCCAAAATCCATCCGCAACAACTTCAAGAATCGTGACAGTCGGCCTTCCCCGGCGACTGCTCTGCTCCGGCCGATGGTCGTCTTCAACGGCCCGCACTGCTTCTGACCGGCACTCCTCGATTTCTGCTACGGGTGATCGGAGATGGCAGGTCGACCAGTGGCTCCAGACGGGTGCTCGATCCTAGGCGGAGGATGGTCAGCGTTTCGGTCGCCGGCAGGTGGTCGTCGTCGCCGGCAGGTTCCCTGGCTACCTGTATCTGGTCTGCGATCTACGGGTCCTTCCCGATTGGCTTCGCCTGTTCCGGTGGAGCTGCGGGTGGATTTCGGCCTCAAGTCGCCGGCGGCTGTTGGCGGTGACGAGGTGTGTGGGCTTGTTGCGAGGTGGGGCTTAGGCAGCGTCTTGGTGGAGCGAGTCCTTCGCCGTGGTTGCCGGAGTAGCGAAATGGACTTCTTCTTCCCTTCCTGGTCGGCTAGTGGTGTTAGGCGGCGGGGGTCCTGGCTCTCCCGAGCTCGGCTAGTGGTGTTAGACGGGTTCGGGTGGGGCTAGGGTGGGGGCTGGTGTTTGTTCGCTCGGTTGTAGACGGGTCGATTCGGAGATTGGTTCGGGCCTTGGTTTCGGCTACTGTATAGGCTTGATTGCAGTTTCGGTAGCAGTGGCTTGGCCTGGATTTGTCTTCTGTCGATCGGACACTGTTGGTTTGGGCTAGTTCGTTTGTCGGGGAAGGGCTTTTAGTTTTGGTTATTAGTCATTTGTGTTCTTGTCTATTGTTTGTAGTATCTGTGGTTGTGTTTGTCTTGTGTTGTTTGTGTTTTGTGTTTTTGGTTTGGGCCGTTGGCCCCTGTGAGCCCGAGTGTCAAATTGATTACTCCTTTGGGGTCCGACACTCGGGTATTACCCTGTTAGGGTCCTTGTAGTTGTTCTAGTTGTTTGTGTTGTTGGTTAGTTTAGTTGCGAGTATGTTTTTTATTCTAGCGTTGCTAGTCGGGATTCTAGGCAGGCTTCTGACCTGTCCTCCCCCTTTTTCAGCTGTTGGCTGCTGTGTTTTAGCACATTTGTGCATTTTGATTTATAAAATTATCTATCGTTTCGGCCAAAAAAAAAAAAAATCCCAGATTTGAAGGAGAAACTCATAAAAAGTTTCTTAAAATTCAAAGAACAATAATTGATCGGCATGTATTCATCCAAAATTTAGAACCTTTGAAAAAGTGAACAAAGAATTTTTAATATGTAAATATATTTAAAATTAAAAATAAAATGAACCACATGGATGTAAGAATTACATGCTAGTGGGGCACATTCTCGTACAATAAGAACGCATACAAATATAAGGGCACCCGTAATGCCCCGTTAAAACGCCCAATTAGCGTTCATTGGAATGTGGGCGTTCATTATTTGAGTGGGACCCATGTAGGGCTGAACGCTTGAACCTTTTACTTTTTTTTTTTTTTTTTAAATGAAATTATTTAACTATTTTATTATTCTTTTACTGGAATATTTTGAGTGGGGCGTTCATTTTATTTTCTTTTTCTTTCACTGGAATGTTTTGGACTCATTTTGCCAATAATTAAAAAAATATATTTTTTGTAATTGTACTATTTTTTTCTTGTGTAATATTAATTTAAGTTGTTTTGGTCTTGTAGTGTTCTTTCATTTACATGCATTTAAAATTTATTATTATAATTTAAAAATATTGAGAATTGAATATAAAATTTTATATTGAATGAGTAGATAATGAGTCTCATATATGTATTTAAATGAATGTATAGGAATGTGGGTGTGTGTTTAAATGAAGAGAGATTTAGTGGAAAGATGATGTGGAGATAGTGTGGATGAGAGAGTGTGTTACTTTTGATTGAATGAATGATATTTGTATTAAAGAGTTGTGGATGCCCTAAGTACATATAAAATTATTCTTACTCACAAAGATTATAAAAAATAATATTATAAGATTTATAATAAATAAATGAAACAATTTTGTTATTATTTCAACACCAAACTTTCATAAGTTTAATTTACATTTGAGTTCATATCAAAACTAATAATTTTAATGCATAAAATTTTTAATTGAAAAAAACAACTAGCCTTACCTACTATTTCTATGAATTTAAATATAGTAGCCATACCTACTATTACTATGAATTTAAATATAGTAAGTAGAGATGTTAAATGGTCTTTGGCCCGACGGGTCGGCCCGTTTAGCCCTGAAAAAAATAGGGTGAAGGCCTTTTATTGGCAGCCCATTTAAATTCGAGCTTTTTAGGTCCAGACCGTTTAGCCCGAAGCCCGTTAGGGCTAGCCCGAAAACCGCTAGGGCTAGCCCGTTTAACTTGAGTTGGGTGGTGTATATGTTTTTAGAAAGATAAGGAATATGTCTCATGATTCCTTGTATATTATTTTGCTATTCTACTTCACGTGTAATTATGAGTTATAATGTATTATTATTATTTTGATAGATAATTATTAACAAATTTTATTCTATTTCACAGCAAAATATTTAAGCCAATCAGAACGACTTGTTGATACCTAATTTGGCTCCGATTAATTAAATAATAAATAAAATAATAAAATGCGGCCAGATAATCAATGAGCCGACAATACGAAATAAATAAATATACAAACAGGTTCTCGATACCGATCAAATCAGAAGCCGCCTCAGATAGACGTCAATCGAAGCCGTCAGAAATCATAAGTGGGCCCCACGATGATTATTTCATATTAAATAATGATGTACCATTTTTTACTTATTTAGTTGCCCACTTACAAAAGAGAGAGGGGTATATATATATGTACAAATGAGGAGACAGAAGGTGTGGTTGGATGACTTCTCGTTTTTTCTTCCCCCATCAACCAAGAGAGAGAAAACCCTCTCAAAATAACAAAGAGAAAAACACAATTTTCTTCACATTTTTTTTTCTTCATTTTTCATACAAGAAAATCGATTACTTTTCAATGGTTGATCGTCCGATTTTCGACATCAACAATTTGGCGCTAGAAGAAGGGCTCCGGAATTTGCTCGGAGTCAATTTTCGCCGAAAAACGGCCACATCTCCACTGTAAAATATATTCTCCAATCATACAGAAAGTAGAGACGTCTTGCTGCTACTTTGGTGCACTCTTTCTCTCAATAACTTTAAAATAAAGCTTTATTTTTCATTTATTTCTCAGCCCTTGCAATTTCGAGCTTCTCTCACCCTATGTACTTCGCTTTGGCCATGAACCAGTACTCCGTATATTTCAACGCTGGGCTCTGTCTTACCATTTTTAGAAATTTTAAAATACACATCTATATTGTGGATATTTGAATTTCCCCTCATTCCCCTATAAATTGCACAACAAAAAGTCATGAGTAAAGAGTAGAAAAAAAGGACAAAAGTTGGGGCAATTTCATTGAATTCTGCTACCATTTCAAGCAAGAAGAACTTCATTCTTTCCGTTCATTTTTTCTTTCTTTTTCCTTATTTTCCCATTTCTTTTTTGCTGAATAAAGAATAGACAAATAATACCCACTTGCTTGGACACAACATGGCCACGTTACTACCACTGTTTTTGTCAGTGTAACTGTTCACATCACATCAGATAATTATAAATAAAATAATAATATTAAAAAAAGAAAAAAGAAGGGAAATGCAACGCAGAGAGCAACGTCGACCTCCACAGCAGTAGCAGACCGAAACCGACTTTGCCCTTTCCAACTGACTCCGGTCCACCACTGAGCCACACGACCCAGCCGAGGCTAGACCAGAATCCACAGTCGGTCCGACCTCGCTAGCTGACGCCGACCTTAGCCCGGGGCCAACATCAAACCGGCGGGCTGACCTCGCAAACCGACGCACCGCCGTAGTTTGGACATCAAATCGGGTGGCGCCGACCTCACCAACCCAAAACTCCATGTCGTAAGGTCCAACCTCACAACAGTCGGGCCGACCTCGCAAACCAACGCCGACATCAGCCCGGGACCAACGTGAAGAAGCCGGACAACCGACCTCGTCACTTCAGGCCGACTTCGCACCACGACCGTCGACACCGCCCGACATCCAGCCGGCGCCGACCTCAGATGTTCTGAAGCCGAAAAAGCAGATCCCACCTCATCACTTCCGGTCGACTCTGCACCACGGCCACCAATATCTCCCGAACTTCAGACCTGCACCACAAACATTAAATACCGGGCTGACGCCACTTATCACCACCGGGAAGCGACGACCTCAAATGACGATCTAGCCGCTGCCCTCCTCGACTCCAGGACCGGACCTCCAACCCAAAGCCGGGCCCGACCTTACCATCTCTGACCTCCAAATCGCAGCGGCAGACCCTGCCTCACAACCGGAGTCGGATGTCTCCTCAGACGCCGAGTCTCGCAATTGCCGACCTCACCAATCACATATCCCGATCTCATGATCGCCAATGACGACATTGCAACCACGGCCCAGCCGGGTCATCCTCGAACTTCAGTCGGAATCCAACCTCAACCTCGTCACCCTCAAACTTCAGTTGGGATCCGGCCTCGATCTCGCCATCCTGGAGCTTCAGTTGGGATCCGACCTCGACATCGCCATCCCTGAATTCAGATGCCGACCTACCTGAGGACGTCCTTAGAGGTGCCGAGCTTGCACAACAAAACAGGGTCTTCAACCTCAAAGCACGGACTGAACATCAAAAGAGGGGCTGACACCGACTCCTCGCTGCCAGACGACCTCACAGCCGACAACCGAACTCCACAGGTGCCGAACTCGACCCAACGTCACAGCCCCGATCCATCAAATCGCAGCTGTCGGACAGACTTTCGGCCCATGGTCGACCTCTCACACTCACTTCCGGGCTGAAAACATCCGCCGGCCGAACTCACTCACACCGCCGTCGGCCGAACTCCCTATCTACCTCGTCCGCCAATAAGTTTCGTAATCACACCCTAAACCTGGACACCGAGCCACCGCTCCCGTCTTCAGACTGAGACGCTGAATCACCGCTTATCCGCCTAGGCCGACGTCGAGCCATCAACCTCTAAACTGACGGGCTGGCTCACAGTCGGGCTCAAAATCGACCCGAATGACGAGATGGGGTCTCTGAATCGTGATGGACCGATAGGGGTGCCTCTTATCTCGCAGCCGAAAATTGAATACAGTTCCTCAAATCCGAACGCCTTCTCAGCCGATGTTCTCCATTGGAGCAGATTTGTGCGTCAATCGTGAACGATTTGTGGTGATTGGTAAAAGAACAAGATCTCTTCCCTTACTGCGTGTAGGTGAGAATTTTGGGGGAATAGCGATGAAGTGTCGGTCTAGTACTAAATACCAATCTAGATTCCTTTTGTATCAAGAATGATTTGGGTCTGGTAATAGGAAATCAATTTGGGCCTGTTAATGAATGTGTGGCCTTGTGTAATTAGTTCAAGAATGTAAAGGTAAGGACCCTAAAAATACTATAATAGATAGAGTAGATGTAAAAAACAGAATTAGGGCTGACAACGTCCCGACGGACAAGGGATCAAGATCTCGAAATCGAGGGGCTTGGCAGGACCTAAGCAAAAGAGAAGTCGACCTCTCCAGACGATAATATGCTTAGACCTAAATTCCACACCGGCCCAAGGTAATCATACTCTCCATCTCGCTTTGAATGCATACATATATATATATATATATGTGTGTGTGTGTGTGTGTGTATGTGTGTGTGTGTAAACACTCACATAATGATAGTAATAATATAATAATAATAAATAAATAATAAATATATACACGCATATATACATATATATGAATAAAAATATATATCGAATCTTATTTCGTGAAAGTCGAACCGAGACGGGAAGGATTAGGAAAGTTGGTTTGCTGCAAGCCTTCGGGATAGGCACGACTGTTCCTCTAGCACTTCTCAGTCTCGGAAGGTCATAAGGCCTTTGAGCACAAACGCGTCCGCATCGCCCGCCGTTAAGCTCTCGCTCCGGCCAGACCGACATCCCCATCACCCGCCGTTGAGCTCTCGCTCCAGCCAGGCCGACGTCCACATCGCCCGCCGTTGAGCTCTCGCTCGGGCTAGGCCGGCGTCCACATCGCTCGCCGTTGAGCTCTCGCTCCGGCTAGGCCGACGTCCTCATAACCCACCGTTGAGCTCTCGCTTTGGCCAGGCCGACATCCCCATCACACGCCGTT